TTCAATTACATTTGCCACTCTCTTTGCTCTTTCTTTTGCGGTTTTAAAAACTTTTTCATAGGATGATCTCATAATTTCATTAGGATTTTCATCTAAATTTTGTGTCTTTCGATTCGTGTTGTCACTCTCATTTGCTACTTTTGATTCATTATCAGCATATTTAATTTTCTCAAATGCCTTCACGACATTGTCTATGTCATATTTTGACATAATTTTATCTGTAGCAGAATGAGCAGCATCGGAAAACTTCTCTTCTGCATGATCTGAATCTTTGACATCGGTAATTGCTTCATTCACTTGATCAGACGCCGAATGGATTTTCTCTTCGACAACATTCTCAAATTGACGAAACCAACTAAAAAAACGTTCGAGAGCTCGTCGTATTTGACGTTTTACTTTTTGCTGGAATGTCAGTCGAGGAGGCGGTGTTGTAGCAGCTGGGTATTTAGGCACAACTACGTTCGGGATCTCAACACGGTGATGCACTATATGGTGAGTTATCATATATACGTGATCTTTGGTTCCGTCAATATAATCTTCGTATTTTTTTCTGGTGCTCTTTGGTGAGAAATCTCCGGAGAATAAGGTAATTTCCGTTTCTGGTATTAAATTATTAATTTCCTCATAATGCTTATCAGTGTCAGTTTCTCTTTTTTCTTTTTGCGATTCCATCCTCTTAAATATATTCAATAAAAAGAAAATTTGAAAATATGACACATGAATAGAAGCAATGTATTTTTATAAGCCTTAATAAAAATTGATATATTTTTAAAGCACTAATGATATAGTAATCATTATGCATGGTAGTGTAACGTGTTCCCTACTTTGTATCATCAACATTGATACGATCCCAAAAATTCCTACAAAAATTCTTACCTTGTAGTATCAACATTAACGTCGTCGTTTACTCAAAAGCAAGGAATATTTCAGATTGTACGTATTGCGGAAAGCTTTCGTGAATTCACCTCTGCTGCCGCGCCGTTTAATAATAAATAAAGTCGAATGGATATCTTTTTATTTATCCATTTACTTTGTAGACAATTTGCGAGTGTAACATTGAATTCGTTAAGCCAATGGAATTAATAAACTAGTTTTTAGAAATAAACATTTGAATGATTTAATGATCCCTCATTCAAGAACATTTTCCCAAATGTCAAGTACAAATAAATTCGTTTAAACAAAGAGATGACTACTGTTTTGATTTCTGACTTGTACAGAATTTCTGGAGTTTCATAGTAAACTTTCAACCATAAATTCAGGTTTTACTTTAAACAATAATTTCAAGAACCAATTCATTAGCAGCAGCAAACAAACTAATAAATCCAAAAGTAAGATTCATGCTTTGGCAAATCGATCTTGCACACTGTACTTAAATGAATTTTACCTTAAAAATTCTTATGATATTCTCGTTATTGAAAAAGAACAACAGCAAATACAATATCTGACTGTGCTATTAGTGTTGTCGGTATTGTTACGCCTATCCGTACTATTGATTTTCAAAGTGGGATAGTGCGTATGGTCTAGAGTAGATTCAATTGAGCTTTCTTGGAGAATCAGAACTCTTTTGTCGGGTATCTGTAGACTTGTGCCAGTAACTACGGTTACCGTTGATGTTAAAGGTGAGTGTATTTATATAGTGGGTGAATAATTGGAAAGAGACAAAATTATGCTGTTAAAGAAGAGGCTATTTTTATTATTAGTTCGTTTAGATTTCTTGGGTCACGGATTACGACGCTGTACAAAGTCTCTTTACGGTTCAAAGGGAAGCAATCAAAGCGATTATCAAAGATACACGGCTTTCTTCGGTAAAGCGACAAAACCCGAAATGGTAAAAGCAAGAGGTAATTCTTCTTTACTTACTTTGAACTTTATTTTATTCTCACTTGTCCTTGATTGAAGCTCAAGAACGGGCCTATTTACATTAATTTTATGTACATATTCTGATACATGTTTGGTGATATGTTTTGAAGCAAATGGGCGAATAACTATATTAAAAACTAGACTAATGACTATTCTATTTTGTAGAGTGGGCGAAACATTATGCCAACTGGCCAGAATAGTGTATTAAATGACCATAATAATGTACAGTTCGAAACAATTGACTGGATGGTTTGCTATGTATGTTAAATATCTATTACCAAAAGAAGAAAAGGTCGAATAAAGTTCTTACTATAAAAAAAAGCGATTGTTGTAGATGGGGGCAGATTGATAGTCTAAAGTGGGACATTGTTTGTTTTTTGGTTGACGCAAAATCTACAGCGTTTATTAGTATATAATTTTTTTTATGAATTTTTTATTGTTATGTTCTTTTCAAATGTAGGACGGCGCATGAAAATTGTCACAGGATGGTCACATGCAGAACAGTATCTTAAATTAGATAGTACATGCGCATGTATCACGATAAAATGAACCTATTTATCGTTTTGAGCTAACGTTGCAGTAGTTATTTGACAATTGAAAAAATATTCAAAATTTATTGAAGGAGGAAATCACTCTAACACTATCATTATCAATTCCAACAGTATAAATTTAAATATTAATGAAAACAACCGCAACTTATTCAGATCAAGTAGAAAGTCATCTTTATTTATTACGGTAAAAAGCACAAGTAAAGTCAAACCGAACTGGCAAGAAAGTGAATTAAACAACAATGGACGATTTGTTGATTCTCTTTAACGATATTTTTAAATTCAATAAAAATTACGAAGCCAATTTAGAAAATTTTTTTACAATTTTCTCAAAAAATATTCAACCGCTCGTTGAAAAAATAGAATTCTCGCAAGAATTACAAGATAATTTTCTATATGAAAAAATCCTGGACTTTATTTGTCATATGGGTATGAGTACTGAAAAAGATTATAGTCAAGCTTTGAAATATTATCAAAAATTGACATATTTAATTGGAGAATTATATAATGACGAGGATTGGATAAAAATGGATAAAAAAAAAGGCATTCGAGTATTATTCGAAAGCAGCAGAGTCAGGACACCTTAAAGCGCAATATAATCTTGCGATCTGTTACAAAAATGGAGAAGGAACAATCAAAGATGAACAAAAAGCATTCGAGTGGTACTTGAAA